CTACTTTGCTGATCAGATGATGTTGAGATCTATGGATATGAAAAATTTTTTGAGCCCTTGCTGCAAGATCTTTCCACATTGGAAAGCCAGGGGATTTTCATTGCACAGCTTGGTTCTTTCATCAAAGGCACAGTGCAGACTGTCATAGCAGACAATCTGGGAGCACATGGAATTGCTGGCTTTGTGGAGAGTTTCTCTGGTGGATATGTGTGCCGGTTCTGTACTGCAAAAAAGTCTGAAATTCAGGAGAAAGAAGTGAGCTCAGATGGTTTCACTCTCAGAACTAAAGAGATGCATGAACTGCATGTCAGGTCAGCGGTAGAAACTGAAAAGTCTTGTTGTGGTGTAAAAAGACTGTGTTTTGTCTGCACGTCTTTCCCATTTCAATGTCAGTACTGGGTACCCACCTGATATTGCCCATGACATATTTGAAGGTATAATACCAGTAGAGCTAGCACACTGTCTGCGTTTGTTAATTTCTAAACGTTTTTTTACTCTCGACAAACTCAATGAACTAATTGAGACATTTCCGTACAAATGGACAGACAAAACCAATCGGCCACATACTGTTCCACGTGCTTTCATGTCCAACGGAAGCGTTGGAGGCAATGCTCATGAAAATTGGAGCCTTTTACGATTTCTTCCATTCTTGGTTGGACATCTGGTACCTCCAGATGAATCAGCTTGGCAGGTCCTTATGGAGCTTAAGGATATTGTTGAGTTGGTTGTGGCACCAGTGCAAACAGCAGAATCAATTGCCTTCCTTGAAAGCAAAATTTGTGATCACAGGCGCAGGTTGCAGGAAGTTTTTACTGAACTGAAAATTTTGCCCAAACATCATTATGTGGAACATTATCCACTACTGATCAAGTTCTTTGGACCTTTAGTGGGGATGTGGACACTCAGATTCGAGGCAAAGCATCGATTTTTCAAGCAGGTCGCTCGTTACACACATTGCTTTAAAAACATACTATTGACTCTGGCAATGAAACATCAGTTCATGATGGCTTATCACTTGGAGTATGCTACCACTGAAAAGAGTGGCATGAGTGTGTCAGACGTCTCAACTGTACCTGTGGGTATCTTGAATCAGGATGTAGTTAATAGTCTTAAGCAAACATATCCTGATGTCACTTACATTCATCTTGCAAAGAATGTGTCTGTTGATGCAGTAAACTACAGGAATGGCATGATTGTTGTTCGTGGCCTTTCTGGTAGCTTGCCAGTTTTTGCAGAGATCATCCAGATGGTTGTAGTGGAAAGACATTTGAGTTTCATTGTGAAAGAAATGAGTGCTTGGTATTGGGAGCATTTCAGAGCTTTCGAATTGTGCCCCACATTGCAAGTTTCTCTCATTCATCACAATGCCCTTGCTGACTACTACCCATTGGCAGATTACCATCTTGGAGGCAGACGAATGGTGACACTTAAAAGATTCATAAACACAAGAGGTTAGGTTCAGTTTGTTTTAATAAACTATTTAAAGGGTTAGTTCACCCAACAATGTAAATTCAGTAATTAATTACTCACTCTCATGTTGTTCCAAGGTCCGTAAGACCTTTATTCATCTTCAGACCACAAATTAAGATATTTTTTATGAAATCTGAGAGCTCTCTGACCCTGTATGGACAGCAACGCAACCTAAATGTTCCCAGGTCCAGAAACGTAGCAAGAACATCTGTGAAATTTTGGGTGAACTAACCCTTTGGGCTCCAGACAAAAAAATTGAGTAAGGAGCCATTGGCTCCTATAAGAAACAAACTTAGGCACCAAATTATTTTTTAGGTGCCACAGAATAAACAGGTTTTATTTAAATTTCTTTATATATATTTTTTTATATTTTATATATTTGTTACATGTAACATTTCAATCATACTGTCATGTGTTTGTCTCATTTTTTGAATTTATCAGCATTTTATTTAATCTTGTAGATGTCCTGGGAACTAGGCCTGTCGCGATAATTAAATAACCGTCTAATCGCGATTATTTGATCTAACCGCAGTTGTCTTATTGTGCTTTTTATACGAGACAAGGGAGAGTCATACACCAAAAGAAACAGAAGAGCACCAGTTTGCTTTTCATGCACTGTATAGCCTATACAGGGCTCCAGACTCATTCTTCCCACTGGTTGCTCTTTTGCAACTAACTTTCTCAGCTGGCCGCACGAGCACATGATTTGGTCGCAATATTATTAATTTTTTTTGCACTACAACATGGGATTATTCAATGCATGCTGATGAACTTTTATCATAGTTTATAGTTATATGGAAACGAAAGTGGTTAACATTTAACCCGTTCTTTATCATCAGTAGTATTATTTGTGATTTGAATTTTGTGAACGGGAGTTTCTCTTTTGCTGTGTTAAGCCGCGGGCTTCGGATGCTTTCACTTTCGAATTCGCAATCTTGTTGTCACTGTTTTGCTTACATACATCTACACACCTTTCATTGTTTTAATACTAAAACAAAAAATGGATTCATTGTTATTCTTAATTAAAAAGCACAACAACAATAAATCAGTAAGATACAATGACAAACTAGCTTACAAAACGTTTAACAAAAACGAATAAGATGAGTCATGGCACACACCACATGCTGTATTATATGCAGACTGATAAATTACAGAACGTTTAGCAAACACTGAGGAATCAAATTAATAAATATAAGAGAGCCTCCATAGTGTAATGTGAGGTAAACCGCAAAGATACGTTTTTCAAAAATGAAAACAAAAAGTAAAACTAACGGTGACCGTGCTTGCATGTTTTTTTCCCCACAAGAATACCAGCATGTTCACCTTTTGAAATTGCAGCGCTTATGAGTTGACCAACGCGTTGGTCGCGCCAGTGCGACCACACACAAAATTTTGTCGCACAGGTCGCAGTCTGGAGCCCTGCTATATCATCTGAAGCCATTCCATATCTTAATGTGAGGGACAGAATTTAGGTTTACAGATGATATATTCCCATTATAATACTTTAAGTTTAAGGAAGGAATTATCACAAACAGAAAGATTATTAGAAGGCTTTTTTCCCCTCATGATTCCTATCTTATATTCATGAATGTATTTTGTAAGAATACAAATAGTTAACAGAATAAACATGTTTAAATTGTATAATTTGCACAAAATATTTTTTTTCAAGATATTGTTTTTGCTGCTAAATTATACAGTCAGCTAGTTTAATTTCATAGCTTATATATTTTTATTCAAATTTAGTTTTTTTCTGTAATGAGGAAGTGAGTATTTAGTGGATTGCGTTTAACAAAGGGTTTAAAAGAGTGACCATTAGTTCCACAAACACAGTATTGATATTCTGTAGGGGTGTAGAACAGTTGTACACAGTTGTAATTGTTTTTTGGTTGCAAAATGGGACCGTTTTAGTTGCAGTCTGGAGCCCTGCTTTATGGACACAAAAAGTGCAAAATTTGTGCATGACCTTTTTTTTTCCTTCTTCTGAATGCAGAAATTTGAAATCTGCATTATCAAAAATATCATTATCAGTCAACTAATCGGAGTTCTCTGTCTCTTAATTAGATTAAATATGAGTGTGAAGCTCAGAGTCATTGTGGACGACAATGATTTCAGAAGACTGGACCTCTCAGCTGGGATACCAGACAGTGTTGTGAATTTACATGATACTGTTCGTCAAGCATTTGGTATTGAAAGACACTTCCGGCTTCAGTACATGGATGCGGACTTCAATGAATTCATGAATCTGTCATCAATTCATGACATTAAAGACAAGACTACTATCAAGTTGATCTACTTGGCACATGACACTCATCCAAGCCCTGACCATCCAGCTGAGCAATCTTCAAGTGCTTCTGAATCGTTTAGCGCTTCAAGTGAATGCTCAATCCTTTCCTCTTCTTTGTTGCCATCTGGAGGAGATTCAGATGACACTGTGACTATCCCAACATCTGATGCAGAAATTCAATCACTACGAGTACAGATATGGCCACAAAAATTTCCGATTCCTCGTTTTCCGTATGATGTGGAAGTGCAGCTTCAACGTGGCAATGAAATTTTTGTTGAAACTGGAACCTCTCTGAAGATCAGTCCAGGGCTCAAGTCCGGAATCTTGGAAAAGTTGGCTGAGGATATTTTCCAGTATACTGCATACCCACGTGATTCCCAGATAGATGACGTTGCAAAGTCACTTGTTGAAAAGTTTCCATGTTTAAAAGAAAAAGGATCTGTTAAGGGGTATAGCGGGTGGATATTTAGCCTCAAGCACAAAATGGCAAATTATAGGACAAAGATGCGCAACATTGGTTGTCCCGAAGTCACTCTGAATTCATTGAAGAACAAGTCCAGAGATGAATACTGTCCAGCCAAAAATGTGAAGAAACCAAAGAGAGCAGAGGTTAACTTTTGCCCTGCTAATCCAACTGGAGAAACCGATGAAAGCCTTGAAAAACTTAGATGTGAGCTACTGGTTGATTTTGGACAAAGGAAGAGAACATCAGCGGTAAATGAAAAGATGTCCAAAACATTTGCCTACAGGAGGAGGAATGTCGTACAGAACAGTCCAACGATTCAGGACTTAAAACTCCAGTGGCCTGCACTCTTTCAGACTGAAGAGGTAAGGTCATATTTACTCTCTTGTCATTTAATCTTCATTTGTGCTACTGTTGTTGATCTCCTCATCAAGTATTCATACTCAACCCAAAAATTTAAATTCTTTCATTTACTTACTCATGTCTTCCCATAGGTAAATTAATTTCTTACTTTAGATGAACACAAAGATTTTAAAGAAATAATTGATCCCTGTGAGTCCAATAGAATGCAAGTGGATGGGACCTCCAAGTTTGACACTCAAAAACCACACAAAAAAAAACACAATGGTAATTTCCAGTTAATAAATCAATTTAGTATCTCGAATTATGTTACTCCATTAGCAAATGTTAGCGCATTAACAATACAAAACCTCTGAGTCATAGACATCACAATGGACATAAGAGGTATAAAACTGTGTATATGTGGTTTCTGGAGTATGTTTTGGTTTCTGTGAGATATCGGTGAACAAAAATGTACTGTCATGTTGATGAAAAAAGAAAGTAGGCTACCTTGTTGCCATGGTACATTAATGCAGTACCTTTTTATTGTTGATAGCTCTTTATAGATATCTGCTGTAGAAGGTTTTGAGTTTCTCTCTCTCTCTCTCTCTCTCTCTCTCTCTCTCTTCAAG